CTAAATATCATTGATGTTTTAATTAATTTCCTCTACTTAACAAAGTTAACAGTTGGAGCTAAACTGCTTGCATTGTTCTCCCAATTACGTAGTCGTAACACTACCCTATAATAATAAATTAAATTAATTAATAGAGGTTGTATTCTTTATATTGATAAATTACCTGATCTCTTGTGCATATACCCATAATATAAGCCATCGTGCTTGGTTCTCCTTTTGTTTATTAATCTCCGATATAGATCTTAGATACCATATCACGTTTACTATTGAAGTTAAGTTGGACTAATCATTGCAATAGGGGAATGGCAGAGGAGGCATAAATACGCGGAATGTCGAATGAAGCTTACCTTAGTAAACAAACCCGGAAAGTTCCTCGACCCTCCCAACCCACCCAATGGGAAACAGACGATCATCTGGTCCTACCATTTTATCGTTCTCATTTCTCCGCAAACCGGGAAACCACCGGCTTGTCAATCCTGCGGCGACTCCCAGCGCAATAATGTTGCAAATTTTTCGGGATGTCTTTGCCGTTCCTGACCAATCTCTGTCAATGATTCACTCTATGCCATAATGCGCATACATATTTCTTAACTGCTTAAATAAAAATCATCTCCGACCTAATAAATAATTACCGGCTTAGCCCAAACAAAAGTATATGTGTGAAGCGATGTGTAATATAGAAAGAGTTTTTTCATATTAAAGTACGTTTTTACAATACAGTATGAAGAGCTGCATACGTAACACAATGCTTTTCAACTACATTGTCGTGATCATTAAATGTTAGCATCCTTGTTGAAGGACTTCAGGATTTTTATTGAAGATGATACTTTAAATTTGGTTAAGCTACACTGCACTCAATTTTTATTGAGACGTTAAATTAGGTTACACTGAATTTTTATTGAAGATGATAAATTAGATTAAATTATTACACGTCAATAAATTTGGTTAAACTACACTTTTGCATTGAAATTCTATTGAAATTGTTAAATTAGGTTAAATTATTATATAAACACACCAATATGTATCACACCAATATGCATCACAACTTTATAGTCTTTTTCTAACAAAGAGTATAGTACTGTAATTAAACTAGTGTGAGGGTCTTTCAAAGTCCTCTTCAATACTAAAGTTTTTAAGGCTGAGGCGTAATAATTTGGTCCGAGTATCCT